CTATTGACCAGCATGAAGTTAACCCCTCATATAATCAGGAGTGTAGTGTCAATATTGAATTTATTAGACTAGCTTCGTCACTTAAGTTGTTGTGTCGATATCTTCTGCTTAATTATATCAAGCAACATGTAATTAATTCTATTAACATATATAGAAGAAAATACCCCAATTGGGTTGATGTGAATTATAGTGAATATATGTGGTGGTTAGGTTTATGGGTGCTAATGTCTGTTTTTCTTGTAGCTGATCGACATTTTTATTTGAGAGCAAGTGAAGAGCTTACAAAACCTCTGGTATCTTTTAATTTTCAACGTTGGATGTCTCTTTCATGATTTGAACAAATAGTTTCTTGTCATACTTTAATGATAGCATGTGAATTAGAGGCTCCAAATCTTATTGATCTATTGTATTCTGTTCGAAGTTTTATTAATACATTTAATAAAAATTTAGTTGAGGCTATAAAGCCCAGGCCAACTTTGTGTATTGATAAATTAATGAATTCATGGTTAGAAAGTAAGAATAAAATTCCTGGTCATCATAAAATACCCCGTAAGCCACATCCAGTAGGACAAGAATGAAAAACACTAGCAGATGGGTTTACAAATATTATTATTCAAGTGGAGCCTTGCAAAGATAAAAAAATTGAAAAAAAAAAGCGATTTGCTTTAGATTATGGCAGTACAACAGTATATGTTTTGCGATTAGCTCAACTATAGTTTGGTAGTAGGCGAACTATAATTGGAGATAGTTGGTTTGGGTCTCCAAAGCTTTACATTACATTAATGCAAAATGGATTATATAGTATCTTTCATGTTAAAAAAAGACGTGAATGGCCAATTAATTACCCCTGTGATATGGTTCAAAAGCTTGGAAGTGTATATGGATCTTATTTTTTGAAAGTTGCAAATATTGATAATATTAATTTAATTGCAGCTTCTTTAAAAGATCGAAAACCACAGTGTGTTATTGCAACTGCATCAACTACAACAAAGGCTGATGAAGTTAAACGTGTAATTAAGGAGCATACTGGTTCTTCTATAATTAAATTTACAAGACCAAAAATTTTTTATGATTATTCTTGTTCAAAAGGTGCTGTTGATATTAATAACCAGGTTTATATTTTTTAATTATAGTAACATTATTATAATACTATTATATTGTATTATTATTATAATATTTTATATTACAATATAATAATTGTTATAGTAATATAAATATAATGTAAATTTAATGCTTTATAATTTGTTTATTTATCAATT